GGCGGGGGTCCGCCCACTTGCTGGAGTTCACCGTGGCAATGGTTTTCCCCTGTTTGGCGGGTGTGCCGCTCCTCGCGCGCGCGTCCTTCAGTCTGCAGTCCTTGGCCGTCTCGTTGGCCACCGCTTGTCCCTTTTTCCCCGTTCGCCATCTTCACCCACTTGTCCTCTGCCTCCCGTTGCTGAAGCGCTGCTGCCAATGCTCGATGCGGCGTGCGCGCTTTGCCGCGCTCCGCCACCACGCCGCCCATCAGTTTTCATGATTTGCAGACGCATGGTTTGTCCATGCTGTCTTCCACCTCCCCCTCCATGATGAAGAGCTCCGTCTTCCTCATTCTTCTCAACCAACAAGGGCTCGAACTGACAATGAGTGTGTCGGTAGATTGGCCCCCGCTTACCAAGACAGACATGCGTGGGCGCCACGTCATCCATAACCATTGCAGTTCCAACATGCACTTCAGCACCCTGCTGCGATGTCTTCGGTTCTCGATGAAAGGGGGTGTAGCAGTCGTTGAAACCTCTGGGTGCAAGACAGGCTCCCAATTGGCCTCAGCTTTTTGGAATAAGGCCGGTTTCCTCATCGCTGCTGCCCATCGTTGCGATCAAGGCATCCCCTCGGCATGTCTTCAACAATCCACCGCGTGCCCAATAGGGTCTCGTTGTCGCTTGAACACGTCGGTGTGCGCCTTGCGGAAACCCGTGGGCCAAGTGCCGTAACAGTGTATAACCCGTCGCCCAATGATGCCATGCTCGCCGTTGTTGTTGCCCATGCTGAAAGAAGGGGCACGCGAACAATCAACCGGCATCGCTTCCCGCGTTCGGATATGGGCCATGTGCTCCGCGTGTCCTCTGAAAAAGCACCGCGTCGCAGTTAAGTTTTTTTGTGCCAGGTCCAGCTCGACCGTGTTTCTGCAAAACGCGAAAGTCTGGTTGTGCTGCTCCAGCTGGTTCTCGATTTGAATATGCTCCAAGCGTTCGCCCCGTTTTCCATTGAATCTTAAGCAGAAAAGAGCTCGCCTTTTGTTGGTCTGCGGTCTCTCATCTTTCTCGTCATCTGTCTCTCAACTATGATTTCGTTCTGCCACTCTGTCGCAAACGTCGTTCGGATCTATGATGTCCTCCGTGTGCTTTCGGGCCATCAGCGCCATCTGAATGGGAAGACCCCGTGCTGGGTAATTTCTCCGATCTTCACGTGCGTCGCCCGTCAACCCTGCATCCATAAATCGAGCTTCCCCTTCGCCATCTGTGTCAACTCCTGATCAGTGCTCGTCTGGCGCCTGCTCGGACTTGATAGCCTCTGCATTTATGCCTCCGTTCTTGCTTTTCTTGTTCAAATCGCTCCCGTCTTCATGCGTTTCCGTGGTGGTACTTCACGAATAAAGTAACGTTTACGAGGTCCTCGTCCTGTGCCGCTGTATTGGCAGCGAAGGGCGTGCGATTCTGCGAAGTTGTGTGGGCCAGCTGCCCAAATAATTGTCACCACTGGCTCTTTTTTTGTCGCTTCTCTCGTACCCCCCTGCCGCTTTTGAAATTCGCCGTGATCTGCTCTAGCTCCTCGTCGCTGTGCCCCCTGGCCTGCTTTAGTTCTCTTCGTCCGTCCAGCGCCAGCCTGCAATGCGGAGTGGCAGTCTCCAGCCGTTCGAGTCGCGCACGTTGTCCTTGCGGAGAAGTTTCCATTATCCCTTTGTTCTCCGTCTCTCTCAGGAGGTCACACCTTTTTTGTTTCTGGCGTGTATCTGCCCTTTGCTTGTGGCCAGTGCTCCTCGTCGATATACATCTGCAAATCCTCCATCCTTCGAAACAGCTCTTCTCGTTGTGTGCCCCTGCGCGAGCATTTCATGAGAACATCTCGATCCCCTCGCAGTGGCCGCCGCGGTCCTCGAAGGCCCGTGTTACATTGAATAACCAATGCCTCGGGCATTTGGTCTCGCTCCTCTCGGTGCCGACCTGGTTGCAACCCGCGCCCTGCAATAGGTGAGGTTCTGCATTCGTTCCCTGCCTGCTACGGCTGTTCCTTCTGGAGTGGAAAATCGTGTTACATTCGTATATATCTTTCGTCCCTGCTCTCGATCAGCGGGGCGGATCTGCCCATCGCACTGCCACGTGTAAACTCCCTCGCTCCAGTCGGGCCTCTCGCCAACCCAACCTCCGAACAACAATCTGCACTCCAAATTCTCGTCGTGATACGTCCGCATTTGTCGCGTATGCCCTCCACGCAAGAAGAAGTTCGCCTTGCCAGTTCATCATTGTTCTTCACCCCCGTTGGCGCATGATGAGTTCCAATCAACAATCTGTCCTTCTTGCCAGGCTTAAGCCCATCATCCAAGTCCCTGTGGTAAGTGGTGCACCTGGCTCAGAGATGTCCTTCGCCACCCGAAGTGAATCGCCCAGCGATTAAGTGACAGATGAATAGCTGCGGGCTGTTCCCAATCTGCTCTTCGTGTGCCCTTAAAAGTGCCATCGGCTGCCGTTTTTTCAACTCTCTACTGTTGTCCTCGCACCGCTCCCCCCTATGCATGCTGTGGATTCTACTGTAATGCTCCTACCAAACGAAACGCG